ACCTTGTTTTATAGTACACATAATTTTCGGTGACAGTAGTTTGCTTGAATCAGGTCTCCACAGACTCCTGGATATCAGCGCCCCTCGGATAGCCAGATAACGCTTAGGCCTGGGCAGAATCTTATTCGCCGACAAACTATATTCCACAAAAACAATAAGTTTTAACTTGACTCTTGCTTGTTAAGGTTCTGATGGATCCCCGTTTGTGACAATATCGGCGCCGAAGACGCCACCGCCGACACCAGCAGATGACAATTGTGTTCACGGACCCAGTTACCCATCAGTTGATGCAGCAAGCACCCACGTCCCCTTTTTGTCAACTGGGGTAAGTATGTCGTTCGACTAAAATGCCTTGCAGTCTGAATGGTCAGCAGGAGTGATACTGCATGAGTTTATAAAGTATGAGCCCACATAGTCAGCAATTACCTGAACGATCAAAGCCGATCGAAGTGCGATGGTTGTGTTACTGCAGGACATGACGCTTCGGTAGAAACAGAAACATGTCTAGCTTCCAGCGATTTTCGATTTAAGGGGCACTTCCGTGCTTGAACATAACAGAAACCTCAATATACCGTCCACGGCAGTAGCCTTCTGATGACTATGCTGATGTCGTGGGACTAGCGAGCTCCTTCGCACATATGCGACGTCATCGGCCAAGTTGGGACAGGCTTAAAAACTAGTTACTAAGGGACGAGGACTATTACCTAGGAGTCCCAGTTTGAGGTTGATTCTTCAGTCTTGATAGAGAGATGGAATTGAAGGTCGGTAAGCAGACTGGACTGTTTTTTACTGCGAACAGACAAGATCGTAATGGAGGAGCTATGGGATCAACAAGACGCGCCGAGCACTCACTCGCTTGTGTAAATCTGTGGAATCAATTGTAGGTCAATTAAAGGACCTAGCTGTGTGCACGCGAGGTTTCTGTCAGGACAAGCATTACGTTTAGATGTCGAATATTGCAAGTGCACCTGGAATAGATCTGGCCACTTAGGAGTGTTCGACTTGTGGTGTCTACACTTCTTTCCCTGTCTCCAGCGATCAGATGCTCAGTCGTTAGAAGGCACAGTCGATGAACTGCGCCCCTCCTACTCGTTGGTTCAGATGGCTCTGCCGCGAGCTGTGGGAGGGAAATAGCGGAAATTCTCACCTGACGTCAGCATGCCTGCACTTAGTACTGCCTGGCGGTTGCGCTGAGATAGTTAACTAAAATGTGATTAGACATAGTGAAAGGGGACCCCAAGCGCATCTGAGACTGCGGTCCACGAATCTCGCGCTCTGTATTCCAGCTGCTTATACCCCCAGTTAACGTCAGTTGTTAGTAGACGGCAACGGTAGATGACCAGTCGCGACCGGTTTATCTTGCAGCATGGAGGCCGCATAATCGTACATGATGATCGCAGTCACGGTTGGGAAGGCAAGTAACGGCGTCAGCAATTCCAACGCACCTGATAAATACTTGCTGTCAACTTAGGTTTGTTATCTTACGAGTTTGCCGGAACGAAGAAGCACTTTAATAAGAGGCACACTTGTCTGCGATCACGGTTTGGTGGAGTCGAGCTACAGTTCAGGAACCCCAACGCTGGCGAAATTCGAACGGCGTGGAGTCATCTAGAGGAAAAATGTGCGACTGCATACTTCGCCGAGCACAATTTTACTTGACAGGCCGCCGAGTCTCGGTAGACAGAATGCGGCTGGCGAAGTCATCGAAAGATTTACAAGTAAATTTGAACCTCCCTCACCCCAACAGGTTGATTATCCAGAAGGAAAGTGTCGGAAGCAGAATGTTTCATTTATAAAATTAGAAGGGTGGGAAAGCACTCACAAATTAATTAAAAAATAACTTTCTTGTTTTCAGAAATTCGAGAGAAAGGAAGAAAGTCAGGGTATGGAGATGGTACATGAAGTTGAGGAATGAGGAAACGCCTTTTTAATATTTATATAACTTGCCTGATCATCGAGTAAATACAATGTTCTTCAAATGCTGTTATTCCAATCAGACGACTAGTTCCGCATGTACTAAAAAGGGTGAAAATGTGTTAAACGTGCAGAGGTGAGACCGTCAAATGACACTGATGAAATTTCGATAGTAGAGCTGCGGATGAAATACACTCAGATAAAAGAGAAACCAACATGTGGTGCGGGATTTGGGTAAGTTTGGAATTAAACAGGACGAGTAGGCTTCTGGGGTACGTCGCTGATCCCAGAAGCCGGTTGCACGCATCAAGATTTCATGTGCGTGCGCGAATGTGCTTGCGTGTGCCTTAGCCCTGTCGCCAAATTCCTGTACGGGTCGTTAACCTTAATCAACTTGAGTATCGCATCGTTAAACGCGCATCGACAAAGGCGGCAGCCTCAACCATCAAGCTCATGCACTCAATCATTTGGCAGTGCCTGGCGCGGCAGCAACGGTCACCGAAATAGGGATGGACAACAGCGCATATGCGATGAATGGGGAGGAGCCAAAAGCGACGAAACTGACCATTGGCCAGATAGAATTGTTCGTCCATTATATGGAATGCGGACGAAACTGTGGCGCGGTCGCAGGGAAGTACATTTGGGTGGACCAGAAGATAGCCAATTAATGCAGGGTATGTCTTAAAATTTTTTGAAAACAGACACCGTGATTTACCGATGAGTATAACCTATGCACTTACCTAACGACATGTGCGATTATGAGGTGTAAAAAATGCGGAACAATTCGAAAAGCGGCGTTTGGTGGCATGCCCAAGAACACGGCGCATTCAAGAATGCCGCCGACAGTACACCACTGGATTGCCGATTTATGCTGTACTGCTCTGTTGAACTATAGGAATCTCGGTTCATAGATGCAGACCGGCTCGGCGACGTATGTTCGTAATTTCTATACGTACGGAAAAGTAGGGGACCCTCTTCGGTGAAACCATATCCTGCCTGAAATGAACGCCAAGGAGACCCGCTTTTTGGATACCGGCAGTTCGCGCCGTTTTGTTCAAAAGCAAAAACAGAATGGTCATATAATTATTGGCTCGGGCTGCTTTACAGGAACAACGGTTACCGGATCATTTTTCATCAGAGTCCCAAATGAGACGGCTACCAAGGACAACTTATTTATCCTTAGGCAATCTTGTTTGAGGGTAAATTTTTGTAGACAAAATTATGGACGACATTGTAGACCACTGCTGAAGCAAACTTCTCATAAGACGTTCAGGCGGCCGAGTGGCTAAGACTTCACTGATTGCACACAAAGCGTAGGTACCTATTTTGCTTCTGGTCTATATTTCATTGCATTTCATCCTTCTATTATCATTGGATGAACTGTTATCCGTCCCTATTTCGGTACGTCAGAAGGCAAGGCACTGGTTGACTACTTGGGTATTGTGGTAACCGCTGTTCCCATATCAATCCTCACTGAAACTCTGCGGTAATCCATTTGACTGGGTTAAGAACCTGACTAGTGGACGGGCATTTGCCGAAAGGACTAGAGGGCACACAAACACATGAACGCGGATTCGCACAAGAGAACGCGGTGCAGGCACCCAACCTATGAGACACTATCTGCTAGGGTACAGCAAAAGGCAATGAGTTAAGTGATAAAGGATTTGAGGTGACCGAATAATCCTCAGTAAACAAACCTGAACCACTGAGTGAATTCTCTCCATCATTTCCGGTACAAAAGCCTTGACTGAGTCAGTCAGCCGACTTGCAAAACGAAAGGCGGCTTTTTCATCGGTCTGGTCGATACAAAAGCGTTCTTTGAGGAATTCACAAGCCTTGCTGGGATCTCGTGCTACATCGTGAATTCCCGTATCATGCACCAGGGAGAACAATGTAAGAAATAGATTTGCGTGTCTAAAATGGAGAATGTGTTTAGACATAAATCCTGAAGAAATCTCCACAAATAAGTGTTCAACCACACTGAGGATTATCACAACGTTGACTTATCATTCCGTTATTTACAGCGCTGATCATCAAGTTTTTATTCAGGTCTATGATCGTGTCTTAACCCTTATTATGATCCCCAACCGAACTAGTACGACAACGACGAAGATTGAGTGCAAGAAACTAACACAGTCCTGTTTAAACACCAAACTTTTAAATGTTTGTGACACCTGGTTGAATTGGCCGGCTTCTGTCAACGCGCAAGTGGCGCACTATAAAGTTCGACAACGTATAAAACCGATATAGAAATACGCTAGGAATTTTAACAGAAAAGAAGGCGTTCACCGGTGAACGCCTCCTGTTCATTTGTTATGTCACCTGAAAATCGAATTTTCACTACGACTAAAGGTGGGGATTACTTATATGCCTCCCCCGGCATGACATGGGAATAGGAACCGTCGATAATACAGGGAACTTTGCGCTAAATTCCAGGAAAATAGGGGTTAGAGTTGCGGTATGGGCTAGGGTTCGGACACGAGAATATCTAACCTTCCCGGGATTTAGCGCAAGGCTACGAATAGTAAGTGGGCGGGGCGTTCCTATTTCCTTGTCCTGGTTGGCGGCCATATGAACGATTCCGATCGAAAAGGGCACCATTTTGAAGGGTCTATAACTAGGCTTTTGTAATCTAACTACAACCAAGTACTGAAAGCCGGCATGGCAGACAATTAGTGAGGACAAGATGACTTACCGTCGAAGGCTTAGAAAAGCTGTCAAGCAAATCTTCCAAAACTCGTTGAATAATTTCGTTTGATGGCCACCCATGGCCTCGATCATGGCTTTCGTCAGGCGTACCTCTGGGGCCATCGGTTTGGGATCGTTGCCCAGGATAAAACCAAAGTCAATATGAAAAAGCTGCCCTTCAGAAGTCAGCATTATGTTCTCCATGTGGCGGTCGCCGACACCCAGCAGATAGGTTATAACGCAGTAGCCGGCTATTGAACGAATAAGAGTTGTAGGTTTGTCTAAGTCTAAGGCTAATTGAGAAGACAAGGACTGAGAGACAATGTTAAGTGCTATGAGTAAGGACATAAAGCATGAAAACTCTTGCAGTTGGTGAATTGAAAGGAAAAAAAGTAACCAGCATGGCCTCAGTCAAACAGAGGGGGATATAAGACACCGAGGGATGACTTTTAACGCACTGACAGGCTTCATTAAGCGACGGAATCTACAAGACTAGCGTGAATGAATGCAAGATCAGCCTGGTGGCTAGTACGGTATATACGGAATAATAGATATGGGAACAGTGTTAGCTGACCACGTAGGGCGCAAGGAAGAAAAAGGCCCCAAGACATGTTTGTTCCTCTGAAATAGCTTGAGGCGTAGGCAGCGAAGATGCCGGGTGGTCTTTCGAACACATACAGCGTACATCGCTCATCAAAACATTTGGTTCGTGATGGAGCCTTATGAGCGAGGTTGCGGTAATCCGCTTGAATGCGGCCAATCTATGTGCAATCAGCGCATACGTATAGTTGGTCGTCAGCTCGCATAGCATGGCCCTAACTGGACCAACAAAAGAAACCCGCTTCGTCTTTGGACCGGAGGACGTGGTTGTACTTAAAAGCCAAATGGCCGTCAGCTAACTACCCACCCACCGACATTCAAATAGCTGTAACATGTTAGCGTCAGAAGTGAAGTGAAACTGCACATACCGCAGGAGCGGATATAAGTGTCGAGTACTTTCGGTTGCACGCCAAGCGGATCTGTAGGACTCGGTGCGCAGTGTTGTAGATAATTCAGTATGGAGCCTTCCTGTCTCGTACTGGCCAGCGAAATTGCCTCGACAAACTCTATCAAACCTGCCAGAGAAGCAAAAACATTTCAGGAAAACGTAAGTGAGAATGGCATCCCAAAGTGAGCGATTAACTTCTCGAGAGGTTGGCAGTGATGGTACTGACCATGACGACAGCTGGCAGCCAACACTTTGTAAGGGGTCAGTTGTAAATTGAACTTTTCCTTTTGCAGGACCTACAGCAAAAAGACTGCATTCGGTAAGAAGTGCAAGTACCAGACAGAAATTCCAATATAATGCATAGACTAGCGCACGACTAGTAATACCTTCGATAATCTGACAGTAAAAACTGAAGACGTACCACATCCATCAACTGGATCATCTGGAGCACGAGTTGATCCTGGCGTAGATCATCACCAATTTTAAAGATCACTCTGTAGACATCGCCATCACGAGAGACAAGACTCAGAAGTGCGGGCTGCATTGTGCTCTTTAGGTATAAGAAGAAGTTTACTAAGGGACCCTGGCACACTACTACTTTTAAAAAGACAGTCCAAATAAGCTCTAAACAAGTGTTTAAAATGCTAACTTAGGCGAAAAATGTCAGCATTTCTGATTGTCCACAAACAGGAGTTCCATGTACACAATATAGCACGAGACCACGGCAATTATACGCATTTTCAGGATATATGCCTTCCAATGCAATCACAAAATAATCCGAATAGATCCCTCATTGATAAAGATGGTCAAGAAATATCTGCCACCAGTACAGTCAGGGCAGTGATAACACATTTGAGGCCGACAGGGCATACCTTGAAGAGTGTCGCGGAGTCCGAGTCTATTCCCCCGATGATGAACGTCGGATCCAGAGGAAGCGGAACAGGGCGTGTGAAAAGACTCGAGAAACGACTGTTCGTCTTTAGCCTCGCTCGCAACAATTCGATCTGTTCAAGTTACCAGCCGGAAATGAGAAAATACGTTACCAGGTGTAAAAAACGCAAAAAACCGCTAGAACCAGTTAGGAATGAAGTGGACAGCATTTAAACGCAACGAATATGGATCCTGCCAGAGCGGTTAGTTGCAATATAGCTTAAGAAAATTGGTCTTGAAAGTTGGGGCGATTAAAGTGTGGGCAATACCTAGATGGGGTACATGTATAGTAGATGATCTTATAAAATGTTGACCGAAATTCTGAAATGCGTTTTTTGACTAGGAAGGGTTACTTAAGTGAGGTTGCAATAAAGATCGGCAGTATAATTACAAACTATCTTAATCACATCGGGATGCCGGCTTTTGAATGCATCTCTTCGATCGCTCGCAAAAACCGCACTCGGAAAAAAATAATGCCTGAGTAGTACGATTTTTTCATTAATTTTCAATGATCCCATAAATAAAAATACATTTCGAAGAGAACGTGGTTAAAAATGTGCTTTGTTGCGCTCATTTGGCGGCAAATCAGGTCCTATAAAGTTTGTAATTATAGGAGTTTTTAGGACCATGAAAAGTCCATTTAAATAGCACCGTGTCTGTCCGTTTAGTAATTCTACTCATGCGTTGTGCGGTATAGTTCACATCCAATTTCATGGGATCGGTCACTGACTGTATGTCTGGTAAAGATGCATAAACTTTGAACGCTTACCTTTCGGGTGCGTTTGGAGGAGTCTTCCTGAACTGACTTAAGGAGAGCATTCAAATTATCTAGGAATTCCTGCTGGGCCGTTATGTCCTCAAACCACCTGCGTTGTATTGGCGAGGCCTAAAAATTCATGGAATTTCGTTGAGGTGATAGGTTACGCGGGCGACAGGCCGGGGAGGGGGTAGAAAAAGTGCATATATTTTACGTATGATCTAAAAACGGCGATTAAAAATAAATAAAAACAATGCCATGGAGTTTTGCCGAGACGAATATCTATTAGGGGACAGGAAAGAAACTCCGAGACAGCGGATATGCGCTGCCCTGACTGAGTCCTCTACATAACTTCTAGTTTACTCCAACAATGTAACGCAAGATACTGAGCTCAAACAAGGTATTACGGGATTAGCATGAAGTAGCAATGGGGATCCAGTGGCGACGGTGTCCAGTAATAAAACACTAGATAAATGGCTATTTTGCAGTTGTTCGTAAAGAAGACCATGAGGAACATAAAAGCTGTCCAACCGTATTGTCTTAAGGAGTTCAAAGGTGAAAACATACATTTCCCTCAATAAAACTGAACTCAACTAAAGACGCAAAATTCATCCGTCATCCAAAAACTTTATACCGACCATGGACTGCCTCGCAGCCACAATCACAATAAATGCCTTTGCTAACCGGATGCTAACTATCAACGTTTGGGAAATAGTAGCTCCTATGCAACAGACAACAGGGAAGTGCACGTTACAGGGATAGCGCAAGGCCCGATTATGTTTAAATGGCATCACTTGCAAAAACAATTGTGTACTTAGTTAAATAACGCTTAAAGAAGACTTTGCGTTTAGGAAATACAATATAACCAGGTGTCACAGGAAGAATTATGTTATAGGTTGGTAACTTTGCCAGAAGTACCGCAAAGGGTATTCAGATAAAAGTGGCTGGTTTAGAGGCATGTTCTAGCGACTAGGCGTAATTAGCTTGTCATGAGGTATCGAATTTTGGCGATTAAGCGCGAAGCACCAGACGTTTAAGTGCGATCAATATCAGTGAATTTACAACTGTCTTACGTGCTTCAAGGCCGCAAGAAGTCGTTGGAGAACACCTTCAAACATTTTTCGTATCACAGGGGTAGACGGTGTGGACTCATTGGCTTCTAGCTGCAAGAACCAGTACAGGAAGCTGGCCGTTTCAAAATTTTGAAGTGCCCGCTGAATGAGGAAACTTGCAAGGTCCATCTACGCGGGAAAGATCGACAGGTGGTGACAGGGATGTAGGGACTGCGCAATCGCACTTGTGATGAGTAAATTACAAATCAGAAGGGCGGGCCTACGCCGAAAGTAAGATGAGAAGGGTCTTTAATAGCTTGGCAAATAACCAATGTAATCCAAAATTACACAACTGGACTTTCGTTGGCATGAAACAAACCCTTCGACTTTATCATGAGCTTTTTCGATAACTGAGCTGCATGAATCTAAACCAGTTCCAAAAATGCTATGCAAGATATTAAATTCCACAAAGGTCAGACATACACTGTAATTAACTAGCTGTGGGTTTACTGATCTTAACAAGTGACTGTGTCTTCAATGCAATATCCACATAGTCACAGAGACTAAATACCGATTTCAAAAAGACAAATTTTAACTAATTTTGTCAACCAACCAAAATCGCTGTGTTGATTCTGAGGATGACTTGCAGGACTTAAGTTCCGCAAGGGTCCGGCTAGATTCAGATGTATTGCGGACGTTTTTGGCTCACAGAAGTAAATATTAGGAATAGTGCGTGTTGACTGAAACATAGTGATATGGTGGAAGAGAGGTTGTGCGGATAATCATTGAAAACGGATTCAAGACGACTAACTGTTGGTAACATGTCCATGAACTTATCCATGGTAAAGCAAACTTGCGCTGCACCTCATTCACCCTGCCTACACCTAGTGTTTTGATGACATGTTAAAACAGCCGGAGATGGGCATGCGCACACTGGCGGACGAAGCTAAACAGCCTGCCAATAAGTCCCACAGACGAACTGGTCTCTAACCCCACAGGTGCCAGGACTTTTCGAGGTCTCGGAAAGCGAGAACGCTGTCAAGGCCACAGTAAAGAGCCAGAGTAGCCCGGCTCTCAGTCCCGAATAGGTTCAACTATCCCGCAAATTGACAACCATCAATGCCACGACTTTGAGCGCATCGCAATACCCTCAAAGCACGCTTGACTGTTTATGATGAGGGAACTGGGCGCTGGGTCCGAGCTGTATTTTCCTCACTCGCGCTTCCACCTTCAAGCATCGGTGACCTGTCCAGGTCAGGCCATATGGGGGATGAAATCGGGTAGTGGCCAATTCGATGTGAGCTCCCTGTCTAACATATGCGCATACGGATTTGGCATGACCAGACAGGAAAAATCAGTTTCTTGCATTGAAGTTAGCTGTCTGTGGGTCCAAAAGACTGGCGGTCCAATTTTCAGGGCTTGCAAGAATATTCAGGTATTTAAGCAAAAGACTAACATCCCAAGGTAAATCCGTCAAGGACAGTGATGCTGCTACGTTGTGGGGACGTCCACGGGGTAGGTCATCGGTCCGCTTAGTCGGCTCCTGCGTGCCTGTTGCCGGCTGTGATGTGTCCGTAGGAGGATCAGCGGGGGTGACCATGGCGTCGTCTGTCCTGCAGGTGTCAACGTGGCCGACCGCAGTTTCCGCGGTCATTGGGGAGACGGCCAATATCGCAGAAATATTTTCGTATCGCAGGGCTTGAACCAACTGGTAAAGGTACAACTGCAAATCCTAGAAAAGGAAGATATGGGCGAAGGCGCATGAAATAGCCAAGAGGGCAAACATCAAAAGTGTTGATACTTTTGGGGGAATTGCTATGTGCATAGAATATTCCACAGTCGATAATCTCATTTTTAAGCACCAAAGAACTAAGAATGGTCATGCTTGAAATTTACAGAGGAAGAAAATACCTCAGAAGTTGCAGACTGAAGGCGACTGACAGCGAACTTTCGGCAGACACTATGGGGGAACTGTTTAGTAAGAAGTTCAAGAATGTTCTCCGGGTCAACAGCTGGCCATTGGTGGAGCAGTTCGATAGCTTGGGTAACTTGTTCGGGGTACTCCCACCGAACGGAAAGCAGAAACTTAGGCAGCGCTGACTAAAAGAATAACAGATTAGGATAAAGCAGCACGTAGAGTTAAATAGAGTGACAAGGTCAGAAACACAGCAAATAAATTAAGCAAGTAGATCGCAAATATTCCCCAACTTACTTCGGAAAATTTTTTAGCAAGATAAAAACGGAATTTCCAAATGAGATCCCCATCCAGTTCAGACAGTATTTCACCCGAAGGACGGCTAATGATTGCCTTCCAAGAATTGTAGATAGGAAAGGAGGAAAACCTTCAGTTTATCAAGAGTGTCTTTGTTTGGTTTGCGCTCCCGGTCCATATCCGCAGTTCGAACATTCCGAGTCATTTTAAAGTACATCTCATCAACTGGGTTCCACTAAATTGAGGTAGGATTAAAGAGTAGAGGAGACTTGCTTTCTCCGGCCACTGTTCAGCCTTCCTTGTGCCTAAAGACTTTGGAAAAAGTCGAAGGAAAAAGCAAAAAAAACTACCGAAACCGTTAAAAACTATGAGGTACAAAGATATGAAATCACAATAGACGAAGAGACTAAAATGAACCGTGAAATCTCGTGGGCGAAGCAGAACAAGGCAAATGCAACTAATTGGTGAGCGGTATTGTACTAGTAGTAGCAACAGTAGTATCATCGTTGCCGTCATCGTCAATTTAAAGCTCTACTTTAAATCTGTCCGTAAAAGTAATGCTGAAAATATCGTGCAAAAGCTGGTAAAAGTGAGAATGAGAATGGGTTGTAAGGGCAAACCTCACCAACGAATAACTGAGAGAAGGACACACTGACTGTCGTTGGATAACAGACCTGACAGTTTTTCAAGTCAGAGTATAAGAAAGCCCTTACTCAAAAAGAGAATTTACGCTATGCTTAACAACAAGGGTTAGATTAACCGTCCCAATAAACACAGCCACCTGACACCTTAAAAACAAAATCCACGGCAGCAGAGAACCCCATGCCCGTAAATGACGCGAAGAATGGGATTAAGGCTGTGAAGCCCAAATGTGAAATTTCACATAAAACCCAGTGCCTGGGATCTTGACAGAAGCCTCTCACTCCACCGCAGACGCCCCACTACGGAGGGATGCCACTAAAATCGTTCCTATAAAACTGGAACGTAGACCTTTGTGGTAGCGATGGAAAATGTTCTTGATATAAACAGTAGACAAAGCCAGTGTGCCCCCCAAACGGGCCACGTGGTAGATGCGCTGAACAAACACGGCGGCCATATAGGATTCTGGCAGGCGTTATCGGATTTGCGCACCATAACCAATGCTAACATGTCGGGGTCCGGTGGCAGACCCGGTTGCCGACAGTCGTCGCGCACACTGGAACCCCTGCCTCCCCCATTGTTGTCGTTGGTTAAAGACCCGGCCATTTGCCGAGTGGACCAGGGGGTGTGGAGTGGAGCGCCAAGGTGCGAGTTTGACCGCGTCCTTCCCCGTCTCCGGTCTTCTTGACTCTGTCTTGACACAAGGTCCGGATGGGGAAGCAGGAGAAAGTGTGGTAGATGCTGCGCAAGTACACATTCACTATAAAGTACATCACGCGCAAGCCACCGTCCCTGCTTCACATTGCTCTGAAGCACACGGTGGACATCGTCAGCAACGACGGTCGAAAGGTGGTATAGACAAAGCCAGCCAAGAAGGGCTCAAACAGCGAAGGACATTCACAGGACAAATGACAGACCCGTATCTAAAGGTGCACCGCTGAGAGGGGAATGAGTTCGAACGATAATATGCATACAGGGTCTCCTAAGGTTAATCATTACCACCGACAAAACAGTTTAATCACTGGCGGGATGTTGTTACCGACAAAGACAAGAGAGACTGGAATGACCATTTCTGGTTTATTAACCGTCGTCAGCCAGCCATACCCAACCCCGGAGTGTGGAACAACTGGGGCTCGATCCCGCGACCTGTTAGTTAGAAGTCCAACGCTTCCAACCACTTAGCCACGGGTTCGTTGTCCCGTCGGTTTCGATTGGTAATGTACAATGGTAGAGAGGCGCTCGCCAGAAATGGAAATCGCAGTCTGCCTTGTCCTTGTCAGTAAAAACATTCTGTCTATATCATGCGCCACAGTGCGGCTGCTGGTTGGGCTCGAGAGAGAGTCGATAAGGCACAACGGGACGAGTGAGTTCCGTAAGAACGATCGGTGAGTGTTCCTCCACCAGTTCAATCACTATCTTAGAGAGGAATCGCAGCGCATTTGGCGATCGTCGCTATGTGGGGCTTAACAGTCTTCCCGACCCCACAGTTTTGCTCTTCCGATTCCTTACCATCATGGCGAGGAGTAAACAGTAATGGTGACGATGCATAAGGCAAATACACGAGACATATTGACAACGCGGAGTTTTTCGGAAGTACCGGTGGGGGGGGGGACGAGCGAACTACTGCCGAATCAGGTAGCTGGTCTTGACAGATTCTAGCTTGTTTGAAGACCGGCCCTGCGACAGCAATGAGATAGAGAAGACCGACTTCGAGAATTTTGAAACACAGCCTGTTGCGTCGACGGCGTTCACATAGGCTTGCCTTGTCAGTCCTGTTGTTTCTTTCGCCTGATTCATGTTGTGGAAAGCGTTGTAGGCAAGCAACAAGAGAGATTGTTTCTCAGAGAAGGCGGTCACTCCCAGCCGAAGGGTGTAGCAGTGCCAGGGTTCGTGGTGTGCTTCTTCGTCTCGCTGTGTCCTGCCACCAAAGACAGCAGGTAGCCTGGCGTACACGCTTGTGCGTGTCTGTGGACATCGACAAGTCTGTTAGACGCAATTTGTCTAGCATTTTTCACACTTGATCCCACATACGAGATACAGCGCTTCATATTTCGGTGAGACATGCCTTGATTTTATGATATATGACATCGGACTGTTGCCTGCAGTCCCTGCGTGATTTCGATTTAGAAGGATCGTAGGATACGAGCTTTGGGTTCGCTGAACCAACTGCTTGGCGATTAGGGTGAAATTCCGTAACTGCAAGCCCTGGTACTTACTGCAGCATAAACCAAAGGAAATACCATTGAACACGAAATATTTGTGCAACCAGGCGTTATTTCAGGAGAACTAACGCCTACGTCGATATAGACATACAAGCGAATTATCGACTGTATCACTAGTCGTGGAGGCTTCTATCTAGCAGATCACATTCTGTACGTGTTTTTTTTTTATTAAAACATCCTATCTGAGTAGGTGATGGTTGAAATGGGAAAACCGGCTGATTGAGAAAAGAAAGTTAGGAAAAATCGAGACCGGAGTGTACCGCCGAGTAAGGAGGTCCCCTTAGTCATTACTCGGAATGCTGTAAAATCCATATTCTGACCTATGCCTCCATCATTCATTAGGAATGTTTCGTCATTTGATTACTACTCCCCTAGTTTCTACAGTTAACGTCACAGCTTAAGATTCAAACAAAAACGCTATTATTATTATTACTTGAAGAATAATCATATAGACAAGAATAATAACATTGAATTAAACGTACTGGCCGCTCAAATACCACAGGAAGGTACAGATGAGGATAGGAGCGCGAGAATTCGAACTTGAGACTCAGGAAAATTTTACCAGACTTGCGTTTTAGTTCTTCAATAGTCCGTTCCACGAAAGGCAGGGTATGCCGATCAAGAGGAGTGTCAAACAGCTCACCTCTCATCTGCTTCCTATTGGTCTGTAATTTGGAGTAAGATCATGCTAGATTAAGCCGGCAAATACGACTGCGCGCACGCAAAGAGTGTGTGGCTAGAGGAGGAAAGGCAGAACTGCAGATTTATGACGTAGATCAACATTGCATGGAGTACAGAAAACGAGCGCAGGACAACAGAAAACGGGTGTGCAACGGAGCTTACTTTTAGTAGCCTGTTAAGTTCCTTGAGTTCTTTTGGCTTAGCATTGAAATCCTCAGCAATGATCACGTCCAGAGCCTCATCCAAGGATCTCGGGTTATGGTGCTGCAGAGACCGCAGTTCTAGCTCATAAATTCCATTGCGAAAGATCCTACCATTATTAGAAGAGGCAAAATGCAAAAACTACAAGCTGAACTTGGCTCTGAGGAAGAAAACAGCACATTCATATGTACAGAATGAGAAGGAAAAACTTCGCGCAACAGACCAGAAGCACGCACCTTTTCGAATTGTATAAGCTGAGATATCCGCCAGCAAGGTACTGATCATGTACTCCATTGACGTCGGTGAATGTGGAGCACAAGACGAGACAAATTCCGTTATAGTCGTAAAGAGAACTGTAGGAGAGGGGAAGCTCTATGCTTTCGTTGAAACTGCCCTGCTGGTTACTTAAAAAAGAGGATAATACCTTCGCCAATCCCTGCTGCTATGAGTCTCACCCCAGGCGCCGACCCGGTGTGAGTCAAGACACGGTATTGTTTGCGTTATGCAATATGCTATTTTCAGTTCCCCGTAGCAGGATAGGACATTGTGCTTGCCATTGCTGATTCGAAAGTCTTCAGCATTAAAACCTGTGACTGACATCCTAAACGTGATATAAGCTGATAAAGATAGAAACCACATCTTCAAGACTGGTAATAATGACTTATTTTGGAAAGACGACCGTAGGTCGCAGGAAGCAAAGTATGTCAACTTGATCACCATAGCCTCGACGAGAGAATCTGGAAATAAGCAAAAATAAAGATACTGCGAGAGGATATTTAGTATTGAATTACCAGTAATACCGATCGATAAAATACGAAAACAGTTTAAGCAACTGGCAAGGCTGGACACACTTAAATATACGCCGCTTTGGAATGTGTGAAATGCTTAGGGGACAAAACGGCGACATTTATGCAAAAGATTGCGATAACCCAATAGGTAATGCTATGCATCTATTAAAAGAAAAAGTATACTGAGGATTCAGTAGCACATTCAAAACTCGGGAGCCAGAGTCAGGCTTGAAATAAAGCTGGTGCTTACATACTCCAAAACTTTATTGTAAAATCTACTGACTTCTCGAAAAATAGGCATGGATGGGGGGGTAACAAGAAGGGGAGCCTATTTTATGGTAAAACGGAACTAAAGGATTAAAGAGTGCGCTCGTGTGGGTTGGCCCAAATCCGGCTATCTGACAGAAGCTGTAATGCAGAAGCTGAAGCTAGGGCTCTTCCTACACTTAACACAAAACTATCGCTGCATTTTTTTTACCAAGACAAACCAGTTAGATCTGCTCAAAAAAGTCTAAGCTCCACATCTCCAGGAACTGAGTTAATTCTAGATGCGGGGGTTGGTGGACAACTCATATTCTCAGATGTCCTTGAAAATTGAAAAATTAATGAGTCGAGAGTCATCCTAAATTTTTAGTGCGACCGTCTCGTCTTTTATAAACGAGGTTGTTTACTGCCACTAAACCGAACAGAAATATCTTTTCGGACTATTTTCTTTAAAATGGGTATCTTCTCGACTTTTTGCGTCAGTGCATGAAATACTAACAGTAAAAATAAGAGAGCAGTTTGAACGCTCCAACCGCCCATGGGCCGAAAATAATCACCTGACGAACTCCCATACGGAAGAAACGTGTCTGAGACAGCTTAAAAGCATCAGACACTGATAGCACACCAGCCAATAAATACATTATGCACACAGATTCCTATTTTAGGGACAGGGTTAGCCATTTCGGTAGAAAAATTCCCTAAACCAGTTGTGCTGCCGTGTATCGTGGCAAAACTAGGAAACTTGTCTCAACCCGATTACCCGAAAATTAGTTAGTAGCCACCAATCCCAGCTAATCACTCACACGTTAGACACTGGGCAGAAATTTTCGTTTGTGCCTGCCCAACCAGGAAACGTCATGAATTCCTGGAGGCAACGGATTCAGACGAGACATGAATCAACAGGCATATCGAATTCGGTGCCACACACAAACATCTCAAATAAAAATGGGAGCGGGCAGCTAATGTCGACGAGATGACATGATACAATTGGCGTGTATTAGCGCAGGCTTTGGCCAACCACAAAATGGTTTGTCGGGCGCGGTCAAACAGCTAACTGTTTTCGCACATGGCCCATACTCATGGCGGTCTCCCTTATCTTTGTCGGTAATATCATTCGGCCTATATATATGTATTGGAAAGCAGGCATCACAAGAAATATAACTTGAAGGCAAATACGTTCTTAAGGAAAAGGAGAAAACTTTATTGAATACATTTTGGACGTCGGTTCGCCGTGTCGTCGTCAGACTCGAGTCTAATGCGGGCTCTAGGTTGGGCCCCATGGCACGACGGAACGTGCGTGTTCCGTAACCCGATCAATGGGCGTCGCACTATCAATATATAGATGTGGATTACAATATTATTAGAAGCCATTGTCGACTTGTCCGGAATAGGGATGTGCTGTCTAGATAAGCAAAAAATTATTATTCCCAGACGCAAAATTCCAAACTATAACGGTTGAGTCTGAAGAGTTCTTTCTTACCAGAATCGATAGAAACTTGCACCCTTGATAAAGTAGCATATGCCGAACAGCGATTCGATGGAGCGAAGTCCAACGCTGTAACTTCTAGGCAAGGATTAACCGTCGGATACTGACAAAGTAGTCTCTACTGATTTCTTCATCCTCAGTAAAGCGCGTGCGCTTATGTAGGCAACCGTTCTATTGGCATCCAAAGGCTCAAAAGCTAGGACGGAAGCGTAGGCTGATTTCCACACTAGATTCGGCCTTTCCCTAAATATCAGGTACACTAGGGCTGGTTATCTGCGGGGAATAAGTGCCCGGGATCGACGAAATGGTGTCAGGAAGTCATCAATTTAGAGCACGATTCACAGAGCGGCTTGTCCAGCTTCTAATACAGTCGAGAGAAACGGCCTGTATAACCACGCCATGCCTGATTCAGCCGATTTATCTTGAAGGACCGAAGGGACTCAGCACGGAGCGACTTCGACTCAATAGAACCCCCGGTCTATTAAAATGTCCGGCGCATGAAAACGACGGGTTTATAATGGCGGATCGGCTGTCCTTCAAACTCCTCACCGATTCATATCCAGTGGACGGGATATTGAGACAAGAGTGGGAAATGGTGCTCTGGTTATTCCATAGGAAAGTGACTTAGAGTAAAGGAAGTATGCTCTGTGAGGTAGTTGGGGGCAATAAAATAGGCAAAAGTTTCTTTGTGGCCTTGATGACGGTCCATGAACGGTAGTATGAGATCAGAATGTGATTAATCCCATGAACGTAGAACAACTAGTTCAAGAGTGTTTTACACATCCAGACTAAGCCTAGATAAACGGCTGACCGAAGTTGAATCTCTGGTTAGGTATTGGGGTTGAATGCGCAAGACTGTCTGCTGAATATTTTCAAATAGCAAAACACGTTAATTACAAATGATATCCGTACTGGGAGACAGGTGTAGGCTCCAAATGGAGGTGCCAATCCACATCGAGGCGGATTTTGGCCCTTCTGTCTATGGTCCTGTCACTTAATTTTTGAGTAGTAGAACTTCTCGGCAGGTTCGATACTTGTATTTTCTTCGTAAAAATACTGACTGACAACAAGTGAACTGCACAGAGCATTATTGAACTTCGTTAGATATCTCCAGATGCGAATTACACTGCTTTGTGGACTTAATGATGCCCAACTATATTTACGCAAAGAACATTATAAGTACAACATCTACCAAGGGGTCTTACGGCGTGAAAAAGAGAGGAATGAACGTAGGCAGAATAGGCCAAATCTTCAGACACTCGAACAGCACAGGGAGCCGCGAAAGAACATAAATGACCGATGCACACCAAATTAGGTCTCGCGGATTCAAAAACAAACATAAAAACATAACACCAATTACGGAAGAGTCTTCCGTATAATCACGCCATTATCCTCTGTTCAGCTTATGACGATGGTGTTGGATATGTTGGCAAATGTTATACTGAAGTTGTCCGTAAATTTATTACATCTGGATTAATGAATTGGTGAACAAGGTTATTGGGGTGGGCGCCAAGATTAGCGGTACGTCCGCGTAAATCCTCCTCCACCGCAGTATATATCGATTGCTCGCATAACCTATAGACACACAACTTAGTTGAGCTATTTTCTTGGTTAACTTAGCAAGGGACATTTCTTTTGGGCGAGGATAGGGTATGAAATCGAAACAAACAATAAAACGTAAACAAGACGGTAATTAGTGCCTAGAATAATGGAAAAGTAACGGCTGAGGGGATAGGCTCTTAATTCTTGGAGCATATGAACGGTGGGACAAGGATTTTAAATACCTATTAGGCAAATGCTTATGTTATTGTCGAAAAAGTAGGAGTATGATTGGATGACAACATACGTGGGACCGAACGATACCACTGTCCCATTTGTTTTCGGACAGTCATTGCGACGAGCCGATCTGATGTCTCGTCCTTTATTTTGAAAGCGGAAAGCCGCTGGATTCACACGGTTATTTACCAGGCATAATCATAAATGGAGAACCGAGACTTGCCAGTCTCAGTCCTATGATTACATATCAGCTCGCAAGATGCAACTGTACACGAATACTCAATTGCCTTTCTTAAAACAGTGCTGAATTCATTTGAGTAGCATTGTGTCAAACAAAAATTCCCATGACCGCAGGGTAGTTGGCTCAAGTTCAGACTGTCGAGAGAATACAGGGGACACAAATAATCATCCAAACCTTTATGAGTTGCTGGGACGTCGCCTCCATGACTGATTGAGGGGATCGTTCCATTTCTCCACTATCCGTTGCGTGAAAAATTCAGAACGAAGATCCAGCCTTGACATTTTTGTCGTAGCTTCATCGATTGACCACCAAGATTGGGCGAAATATGCCACTTAAAAATTTCATCGAAACTAAGTCCAGGCTCAAGGCCCAGTATTATCTCGTAAACCAGGATACGATCACCTTTTGCTGCCTGTAGCACAGAGTGAATAAATTAAGGCAATTCAGTCTGCCTATGTAGAATTGGTTTTTAAACCCTTCACCTGCTTTGTTTCCCGATGTTGCACAGGTTCGAGGCATGCTTGATCCTTCAATAGCCATTGCCGTCACTCCTGTATGTCATATTCTAAACGGGACCGAACGAGGGTGCCGTAAACTCTTCAAAAAATGTCTTTGTCAAGGGTTTCGAACGCCCTTTTGATTGCAGGCTGCACTCCAATGGGGATTTTTGCAGCCTTGTTGCACTGAAGTGCTGGTTACATGTTGCTGTTCATCCAAACACCGAGATCGTTCTGCGATGATTCTGCGGAAAGTGTAATGTCGTTCAAGTTTTATGTCCTCAGGCTCTTATTTGAATGACAGTTGGTTGCACGCAGATGAAGGGCGGCGCACTTGTGCACATTTAAATCTAGAAGCAATTTCTCTGGCCACGCTTGCAGTCGGTGCGGGTTGTTTCGAAGGAACCTCTAGTCATTGGGACTCTTAATGACTTACCAGAGATCAACCTCGTCGGCAAACATTATTTTACTTCAGTCGAGTTCCGAAAGGCTGTCATTAATATAAAGGATGAAGACCAATTGTCCGAGAAATGAGCCTTGAGGCACAGCTTTAGTCACGTTTACCAAGTCGAACACATAATCTCTGATAGAGACACGCTGTTTCCGATCAACCAGCAACGCCCTGGTCCAGTATAGAGGATCTCCCAGATGCCGGTTGTACTCAATTTGTGAAGAATGCGTTGGTGCGGGACAGTGTCGAATGTTTTATCGAAGTCGATGTGCACGACGTCAACCTTAAAACCCTCTTCTAAAGCCCTGATTCAGACCTCCAGACAAGTTAGCAGATTTGAGAGACAGGAACGTCCTCTCCGGAAGTCATGTTAAAAATCTTACAAGATGTTATTTTCTTCGCAAAAATTGTGTATAGCAGTCTTTGCAAGAGCTTCCACCGTTTCGAATGAGAGGCAAGTTAAGCTTATAACCCTGAAGCTGCTTACTGCCGTCTTGCTTCCTCCTTTTTGTAAGGGAACGAGATTATCTGTTTTCTACTGCTATGGCAGCCTCCCTGTTCTCATTGACAGCTTCGACAGCTTCGTTGAGAGCTCCTTAAGTATCAGCCCAGGAATCCCGTTGGGTACAGGAGACTTATCTGGTTTTATTTGACTGAGGACACGTGTAACCTGTTCGACGCAAAAAAGGAACGATTTTAATGACAGCAGTATTTTGGCGCACTTGAAACTTCTGGCTGCCTTGGCACATTTTAAACTGCTGATTGTCTTCAGAGGACTCCTCCGCAAAAACCAATTAAAAAACTGAGATAGTAATTGCACTTTCCGTGGCACTCAATTAATTAGTTTCCGAGGCTATCCTTTAGACACGCAATTTCGTCCCCATGTTCTCTCATGCTGCGTATGTGCCCTGAAAACTTATTGGGACTTATAATGGATTCTGCTATCAATCGGTGCTCAAAAGAATTTCTAGCAACCCGTATTTGTTCGCGGCATTTATTGCATTGCTCCTTATATTCGACGAATGTTATTGAATCTTAAAGAAGCAAATACTTTTTCCGCAGCCTCTGTTTCGTCTTCGTGGTCCTTTTTGTCATTGAGTGACATCCGGCGGTCGCGCAAATGATCTTGTTATTTTTATTGGACAATGGGTGCAAATTAGACGCTCTATTATCCCCCAAATGTTCTTCCAGGATGTTTCTGAATTTTCCATGCTTGCTAACAAGGTTTCCTTCAAAAGAGCACGTCTCGTTACGTTAACGTCACCCTTCTGAATATTTCCGTGAATCTTGGTCTTTGGTTATTGGTTCGATAGGAAAGAGCACACGCAGGTAAAAGCATTGGAATTGAACCAGCGATATCTTCATCCTTACAAATTTACGATGGCGTTTCAGCAGAAAGAATCGATCTACTTCTCACGAGATTTTTTAAATCTAAAATCGACTAAGTCATTTTGCATTCGTTTCATACAGTTGAGCTGCCTAAATAGTTCGTCTCATAAATATAATGATATAGGATAAAAAAGTTCGAAGGGGGAATCGTCCTGTCTAGTTAACGCGAGATACTAAGGCAAAGATGACCACAAAGAGCAAACTTTAAAGGTATTTAGCAACAAAAAACCTTTGCATTATGATGATCTTCGCCGAAAACGAAATGAGGCAGACCCAAATGCCTGTAGATTGTGCAAGAAGTATGAAAATCGGATTATGGAGTAGGCAGTGAATAAGCCAAATGTACCCTTTAGATTCATCAGCGGCAAAATGGCAGATGAAAGGACGGTTACAGTGTTGAAAGGCATGCAAGCGCATTTTGGTGCGGTTACGGTTGAGCTTAAACAGTCAGCTGCTGGTAAACAAGCAGTTTTCCTGATTTTTCAGTAGTTTTTAATTTGTCTATACCTTTTCTGACCTGGTATCTCCATTGCTGAGCATTTTAAACGTACGCAATTGAGAAATATGTGATTTTTGCAAACGGAATCACAAGCGCCTTGGAATTGTTGGTATGTGGACAGTTACTACCTGTGATTTCTCAATAACCTGTTAGTGAATCGGTTAAATTTAAGCGTTTATTACTCTACTGCTGGCGCGCCATAATTTACAGTATACAACTCAAACGTGTGCAGTTTAAAGAGGCTTGTTTTCGCAAGCGCCGACGAAAAAGTATATTTTTGCGCAAATGAAAGTATAACTCATTACTGTCCTGTTCACCACACCGGAACTTCATACCAACTCAAACAATTAATCGCACTCCATTTGAAAATTCTTCGAATTCATACCCGATTTTTCCTTGTATTACGCCTATTTTACCACAAGAAGATAGCAAAGATTAATGCCACTTTATTATGGAAACGTGGCGCAAAATGTCATGTCAGCTGGTTGAGCATCGAGCAAAAAATCTCAGGAAACGACACAAATTCCAAATTCCGAACTAAGAAGTATTTCGGTCGTAATTGAAGGCTGCTTTCCGGTCCATTTCATTTAGCTTTCACTGCCTCCTTAAGTTAAGAAAAACCGTAAACATATTTTATATGCAAAACAAAAACGATTGAATAACGCGAAAACTAATTTATACAATGGTCACATTGTCATGTGCTTTTGATCGGGCTGCGTTGGGAACATGAACACATAGCATGCATTTGTCAGTTCATGAATATTTCGCTGTCTTCTAGTTAAAGGTCAGGGGAACTATATTTTCATTGCACACTTGGAACAGGTTCTCTTGTCGGCAAAAAGTGTACGTATATCGATTACCTTAATAAAGAGACACCTGGGTGAGCTCAATAACATAATAAAAGATAATTCAACATATATTTTTCTAAAAAGACATCATAAAGCTGCAAATGTTACATGTTCACCGCT